CTTATCTATCAAACACTTCCGACGTTCTGAACGCCGTCTATCTGACACTTGATTCCTGGGATTACCATAAATGTGCTCACCAGGCTCGCGACTCCGCAGTTAGCAACTCGTGTATGATCACAACACAATCTTTGTTTTCAGAGATGGGGGGCTGTCCACTAGGTAACGAAATGGTCGATCATATGCTTTATCACATCGGCCCCTTCGCTATGCATGACGGGATCTTTTACCTGCTTGAAATTCCAATTTATAGGAAGACAACTCCTCAGCCTCAGCACAATGTTCCCAAACATTAGCGCTGTTGGATATCAGAGCATGGATGGCCGTTTGAGAGCCAAAGACGTACCTGAATTACACTGTGTGCAGCAGATCTTGCTTTGCTATTATGGAAGCTGACATCCACCTTTTCCCATGACACACGCTTAAGTCCTCTCAAAAGCCGTTCTGCAATATTTCAGGCAAAGTTAGCCCATCAGGTCCACGTCTGCATTAAGATTGTTTACATAGAAAAGTCATTTGTTTACACAGAAAAAGATTTCTCCCAATAGAAAAAAGAAGCATAGAAAAAGATGACAGCACAACCACAAGACCCAACACGGAACATCACAACCAGAAGTCATGGCAGTGAACAGGGAGGTAGGAGCAATGATTTATCTGGATTAGTCTGATAACTGTCCTTGAACATGCTCTCATTTCTGACCGTATCTGCCGACATCATGTTACACCTAAACATTCTAGAGTCATACGCACCCCAGGAAACATGGGGTGTAATCAGGGATTCTATGCAACATGGCACGGCACGTTAAACAACCACAGCATGACAATTGGTGTCATGTCCGGATGTTCCCATGCCCTGACTGAGAAGCAATAGTTTGCTTTAGTTTTCTGGATCAAGCGAAGAAAGTGTAAAACTGAAGGCAGCATACCTCAGCCCTCCCTTGGAGATAAGTGTAAAACCCAGGTTCAGTTAGAGCACCAAATCAACATGATTTATTTTTTCTTTTTACATATAGTCCATGCAATGTCGTAGCATCCTTTAAGTTACAACTTTAAACTCAAATTATGCTAGAAGAAACAAAAATGGGATAAGTATGCTGTCAATACTAATGTTTGTCCTTTTCCGCTTAGTTATGTCGTGTTCGAAACCAACAGGAGCTGGGACGCTTATTCTCAATATTGCATATCAACACGAAAATGCAGCATCGTCAATTCCAATCTAGTACACACAAACAAATAATAATTCAAATAACACAGCTAGAAAAGTCCAAATCACAACTAAGGCCCTGTTTGTTTCATAAGTCCTAGGACTTTTTTAAGTCCCAACTTATAAGTCATAAGTCCCTATCTGTTTGTTTACAGGGACTTATAAGTCCCGAGTCCCTACCTGTTTGTTTACAGGGACTTATAAGTCCATGTTGCACCGCTGCAACGAGGCTCAGGAGAGGGCCTGTCCGGCGATTGGAGGCACCGCTGCAACGAACCGAGGCGGGGCGGCGACGGGGCGACGACGGGGCGAGAGGCGGGCGGCGACGGGGCGAGAGGCGGGGCGGCGACAGGAGAGGGCCTGTCCGGCGATTG